ATTCAATTATTAATTATTCTAAATATTTTTTTAAGTATTTTACCCAAGTCTGATGTTATAAGTAAATCCGGATTTATCAAYGTATGTGAATATGATGGAAGTATAAAATAAGCAATAGCTTAAAATTCTTAGAAATTAAATTTTTTTTAAAACCATTGTTATAGAAAATCATAATACATGCATAAAAGTTTCAAATTCAACATAATATTATAATGTTTTAGATTTACAAAAAAAAATAATTAAAATCGCAATTATTTTTTAAATATTCAATAATATAGTAAATGTTCAACTTCAAATGTCTAAAATAAATCTATATTTATATATTTTATCGGATTTCGCTTTCAAAAAGAACTATTAAATACGATGAACCTTACGAATAACCATTTTATACATATTATATTTCCAAATTTTATAAAAAATATATATACATATAAATTTATGATAATTTTGAACTAGGTACAAAATATAGTTAGTCAACTTTAATGTTATAAGAACAATTTATGTGGGATCTTGTATTGAATTTTCGAAGTTTTGGACTGAACAATGTGCATTTCTTATTAATGCTTTAAAAGAAAAAATTTAAAAAAATCGAAAATTGAAAATGTCTTTTAATAGTCTAAATATATTGAAAATTACTAATTATAGAATTAGATAATATAATTAAGTATCTATAAATGGAATATTTAACTTTTAAAGTACCTATATTAATATCTTTTCAATAGTAGCAAAATAATAAATACCCGGTTGAAGACAAATTGTTACGTTTGATCATCCAAAATCGTAAAAATTTTAACTTCAAACAATTGTAAAGCTACAAAATCGGTTTCTTATTAATTTCCAAAAGATCAATTTATGAAGAATCTTGTATCAAATGTAGGTCACCTTGGATAATAAAATTTAAAGTGATGAATTTTTTTTACAATTTGCAGATGGCAGCTGTGATTTTGATGCAGTTTACAACCATGTCAACTATAACTTTGAATGCTTGTAAAAAAAATACATA